CAAGCGGCAGAAACGAGTTTCCTCCGGAGAGTGGCTGGGTGGACCCTTAGGGATAGGGTGCAGAGCTCAGTCACCTGTGAGGAGCTCAGAGTAGAGCCGCTGCTCCTCCACGTTGAGTGGAACCAGTTGAGGTGGCTCGGGCACCTGTTTAGGATGCCTCACTGGGGAGGTATTCTGGGCATGTCCCTCCAGGAGAAGGCCTCGGGGCACACCCAGGACACATTGGAGAGACTATGTCTCCCGGCTGGCCTGGGAACACCTTGGGGTTCCTCCTGAGGAGCTAGAGGAGGTGTGTGGGGAGAGGGAAATCTGGTTCTGCTCGGGCTACTGCTCCCGCAACCCGGTCCCGGATGAAAATGGGTGGATGGGAGGTGCAGACTATCACAGGGCTGACACATAGACAACGACTAATACTCACACCTATGCACAATTTAGAGTTCCCAGTCAACCTGATCTGCATGTCTTTGGACTGTCGGAGGAAACCAGAGTACCCAGAGAAAACCCAGGCAGGCAGGGGGAGAACATGCAAACTTCACATAGAAAGGCCCTAGTCACCCATGTGGTTCAAACCCAGAATCTTCTGGCTGTGAGGTAACAGTGCTAACCACTGCGCTACCACGCCACCCATATGAAATATTATTAAACTAGATGAGAAGAAATGATTAACGTGTTACAGCTGGCATGTGTTTATTAATCTACAAGCACCAGGCAGCACATGAAGATGGCAGCAAACTTAAATACATTTTCTGACATTATTAATGTGAAGGTTATTTTACTGGTCTTTTCTTCCTGATAGGTATGAGCAGAATAAGAAAGCAGAAGCAAAAAAGGCTGCAGAGTCCTGAGCACTGTCCTGATGTCAACTCTCCACCTACAGTGGACTGAAAAGGAGACTTCACCCCGGGCACCAGCTTGCCCCTACTCATCATCGCTACATCATCCCACGTTGTCTCCATATCCTCCATGCCATAGCCATTATTCCTCCACATGAAGCCTGTTGCCCCTGTTGGGAATGTGCACTGTTCCAGGAGTTTCAAATTTCCCCAGGGCATAAAAACAAACAAACAAACAAACAAAAACAATTCTAATTATAGTCAGTACACTCAAACAGGATGGTCATCAATGCACAAGTGTAACTGGTTCAATAAGTTGTATAATTGTACATTCATTAATTTAATTTCATGCTTAATACTTGTTGCACTAGTCATGAATATTTGCTTTTTTCCATGGTCGTAATTCAGGTGTAGCAATCAGTATCTAGTGCAATAATTTCCCAAAACATGTAACTCTTGGATTTGTGTTGAATGTGGTTTAAGGAATGTTTCCAAATAAAGTCAAGAAGGGTGCCATCTAATTTATCATTAATTTATTTTCTGTCACAGCGTCTGTATCTCATGATTATTAAATCATTATTGATTACCATGTACTGATTCCATCCATTTTGGTGGATTAGTCTTTTTAGCTATATAAGAACAAATCATTTTACTCTTATAGTCAAACGTTTATAGAAAGATGCAGTTATTTTCTGATTGTCTATCAAGGATACTTCCACTGACATCTCACATTGAACCTGTCCAGCTTTTTATCAGCTGTTATTAGTCAGCTAGTAAACAATGATACTGACTCTATTCAAATGCCTCATTGTTTTATATTTTTTTCTGTGTAAGAATAATACTTTCTTTGACATGTTCCCGCTGTAGTCGGTACAGTTTTTTGCCCTGACTAATTTATTAATAATTCGTGTGATCATTTTAAAATATTTCTTGTTCTGCTGACTGGACAAATGGAACCTGAGAGAGGTTGATCTTTATGGCTCGGTGGCAATGTAACTAATAAATCCTGTTTAACAGCTACAGTTGCTTTATAGTATGCACATTACATAGTTTGCAAATGCAGAGTGACTGAAGCTCAAGAATTATTTAATTAAAGCAGTACTCAACTACATTACATATTTACTTTGTTAGTATTCCTCAGCCTGTGAAAAGTTCTGCTGACAGAGCTTGATCAGGTCAGAGAGATAATGAGGATGTCATAAGTCTGGATTTTAATAGAAAACTTGTATTAACGAGCCTGCAGGTGTAACATAAAATGTTGTGTTGCCATGTGGAAATTGTGGGATTCTGTATTTTTGGAGCTTGGATCAGATAAGGGCCTGAAGCTGTTAATCTTGACCTGTGGTGCCTTTTTTAAATCTTTTAAGTCCAATTAATTTATCCATTTGCAGTACTTAGATCACTGGAGTTCCTCTTTAATCAGCTGACAGAAAAATAATTGCCAAGTATTTTGAGAAATGATTTATTGTGCAGGTAATTTTCCAGGCAAAAATGCCAAATATAACAATTTCTTAAATAGATTGTCCATGTGTTTATGTGAAACTGAAAATCTTTGTGCTGTGAACTGTTCAACAACAAATGTGGATATATGTTGCTATTTTCTGACAGTTCATAGATAAAATTATTAATAAAACAATTGGCAGATTAATCAGTGTTAAGTTTATATCATGTCTGGTGCTAAAAAAAATATTTTGAGCCTGGGCTCAATGCAACATCCACTTGTTTTTCAAATAGAATCCACAGTCGGTGTGGGAGGCTTTGTATAGCTTTGTGTCTGGTTGCACAACAGATGTGAGGCACTGGTTTTAGTATGAAAGCTTCAGTCTTTCCATGTGGGTAGCACTGGTTAGGAGCATGGTCTCTGTAGTAACACTTTTTAATACCACAGCACACTAAATGTAATACCCATTTCACCTGTCAAGCCAATCAAAGAATGGTGGAAAACCACTGGGGAATAAAAGACCTACAATTAACTAGATTTGTTGACATTCACAATTTTGCATTTTGTCCGCCCCCCTGCTGTATATTCCCATAATTGTTTATAATTACATTATTTGTGCTAAAATGGACACTTGGCTCATTATAGCATTATATATACACAGTGCCTTGCGAAAGTATTCGGCCCCCTTGAACTTTGCGACCTTTTGCCACATTTCAGGCTTCAAACATAAAGATATAAAAC